CGACTTGGAAGGCGCTGAACAGACTGCTCTCTGGCATCACGAGATGCAGAGCCAACCTTCAGAAATGGGGCTACAAAGTTGAATCCTCAACATGCGAGTGTGGAGAAGAGCAAACCACTGACCACCTGCTGAAATGCAACCTGAGCCCTGCCACATGCACAATGGAGGACCTCCTTGCGGCAACACCAGAGGCACTCCAAGTGGCCAGATACTGGTCAAAGGACATTTAATTAACTACCAAACTCACAAATTCTATATTTTGTTTGTTTGTTTGCTTTGTTCTGTTAGAAATGTAATATAATTGACTGTGTGCCCTGACACAACAAACAAATAAATAAATAAATAAATAAATAAATAAATAAATAAATAAATAAATTAGATATAAGGAATCAAAGCATGTTTTAGAATTGATTTTCTACTTGGATTTCCCATCTGCTGAGGACTCTACTTTGTTAATTCACAAACAAAATCTTGTTTTGTACATCTGGAGGACCATGTTTTCTCGCCATCCCAGTTTATGGACTAGTTTAGTTTAATAAGACAAGGCAAAAGAAAACAATGGATAGTGTTTATATTATCTCCTATATCCTTGCATATGGCCATAAATTGGACCTAATGTTTCAAGAGGACTCTTAAATAAATTGTGTGGTTTATTCAGCATTGTATTTTGTCAGAACACCATTCTGTGAATGAAGCAGAAGGTCAAGTAGAAGGGCCCCTTTCCATAGCCTCTCAACCCCCAGTGCCATAGTCTACAGCAATCAGGAAATCCCCTCCCATCTTACAATATCATCATACGAGCAAATTTCAGTGTTGTAGGATGCTCCTGCCCCAGTTGAGCCATGAAGTCCCACACTACTCATCAGATGACGTAGGCTCACTTCTGGTGGAGCTCCATGGCTCAATTGGGGCACAAGCATCTACAATGCTGCAATGGCAACACAGAAGCCTCCCCATATTCCATTAGGAATAAAGAGGCCAGTGTGGAGGGAAGCAGCATGGCAATGCTTCTCCACTTGTGATGGGGAAGGGTCACTGCCAGTGAGGCAGGACACTGGCATTGCCACGCTGCCCCACTGATTCGTCAAGGAGGCTGGTGAATTGGAACGTGGGACCTCATCAATGTGATGAGGTTCTAGAGAGAGCATGACTGATGGGGGAAGAAGAGGCATAAAAATGCTTCTACATGCCCCCAGCCCCACATTGGCCTTTGTGGACAGATATCTAATTTAATCTAATAATCTAATCTAATCCACAGTCTGGCTTTAGGCCGGGGCATGGTACCGAGACAGCCTTGGTCGCCTTAGTGGATGATCTCCGTCGGGAGCTCGACAGGGGGAGTGTGTCCCTGTTGGTGCTACTCGACCTCTCAGCGGCCTTCGATACCGTCGACCACGGTATCCTTCTGGGACGCCTCGCGGGAATGGGCCTTGGAGGTACTGCTTTGCAGTGGCTCCAGTCATTCCTCGAGGGTCGGTCGCAGAAGGTGTTATTGGGGGACTCCTGTTCTACCCCACAACCCTTGTTTTGTGGGGTTCCTCAGGGTTCAATACTGTCCCCCATGTTGTTTAACATCTACATGAAGCCGTTGGGCGAGATCATCCGGAGTTTCGGGGTGCGGTGTCATCTGTACGCAGATGATGTCCAACTCTGTCACTCCTTCCCACCTGCTACTAAGGAGGCTGTCGAGGTCCTGAACCGGTGCTTGGCCGCTGTGACAGTCTGGATGGGGGCGAACAAATTGAAATTGAATCCAGACAAGGCAGAGGTACTCCTGGTCAGTCGCAAGGCCGAACAGGGTATAGGGTTACAGCCTGTGTTGGATGGGGTCGCACTCCCCCTGAAGACGCAGGTTCGCAGTTGGGTGTGATCTTGGACTCATCGCTGAACCTGGAACCCCAGGTTTCAGTGGTGACCAGGGGAGCATTCGCACAATTAAGACTCGTGCGCCAACTGCGACCGTACCTTGGGAAGTCTGACTTGGCCATGGTAGTCCATGCTCTGGTTACATCCCGCCTTGATTACTGCAACGCTCTCTACGTGGGGTTGCCTTTGAAGACGGCTCGGAAGCTCCAATTAGTCCAACGGGCGGCAGCCATGGTACTAACAGGAGCAGGACACAGGGAGCATACAACTCCTTTGCTGTACCAGCTCCACTGGCTGCCGATTAGCTACCGGACCCAATTCAAAGTGCTGGCATTGGCCTTTAAAGCCCTAAACGGTTCTGGCCCAACATATCTATCCGAACGTATCTCGGCCTATCAGCCCACCAGGACCCTAAGGTCTTCAGGGGAGGCCCTTCTCTCTATCCCACCTGCTTCACAGGTGCGGCTCGTGGGAACGAGAGATAGGGCCTTTTCTGTGGTAGCCCCCCGGCTTTGGAATGCCCTCCCTGTAGAGATAAGATCTGCCTCTTCATTGATGGCATTTAGAAAAAAACTAAAGACATGGATGTTTGAGCAAGCATTCGGCTAATCTGATGCAATGATGATGTTTCTGATTAAGGACAGGCAATTACCGACAACGAATTGGATTATGATTTTCATTTAAGAGATGCATTGGTCTGTATTGGTGGCCCAATACTGTGTATTATATATGTATGTGTTTTATATTTTTAATCTGAATATTGTTGTTTTTAAATGCTGTAAACCGCAGTGAGTCGCCGCTCTAGGCTGAGATACTAGCGGTATACAAGTGTACTAAATAAATAATTCAACCCAATGTCTGCAAGTTATACAGAATCCTTTATTCAACTATATTTATGTTTTTGTGTTATGAGCTGGTAAGATTAGTTACAGTGATTTTTTTTGTTAAAGCATATCTATATGAACATTTCTAAATGTTTATGAGTATGTAAGAAAATATAGCTATTGTATTTTATAGAGGCAACTTTAATTTTTTTGTACCACTAGGTGATAGTATAATAATATGCAACAGTGGAAAACATCAGCAGGGGTATATAATTTAGCATTTGATGTGCTCCAAATGGGGCAGGCAGTTAAAAGAACATGATTAGTACAGACCATGAAAATGAGATCAGCAACAGTACTCTGGAATAGACCTGCAGGGAAGTGATGTTTGTGCCAATGAAGTTGCGGGGGGGGGGGGGGATATATTAGTCAAGATGGTTATGGATATATCCTTGCCACCTCAGTGTTTGCGCTATATGAGAATTCAGATTAAAAAGTTATGGGACATAAATTTTAGCTTTCATGTGTGAAGACTTTTAGATTGATCTACTGGGTTTGCACAATCACAATTAGCTTCTTTGGTTTAAAGGCTGAGTTTTTTGTTGTAGAAAGTTATGTGTAACTAGTTTGAGTTCATAAAAATATATACATCATTCACACTGCAAACAAGTCATAGGGAAAATATAATGTCTTCACGTATATTTTCAAGCATGTAAGAAGTGAATTATTACTTTTTCCTGGATGCTAGATGCTGTTGAATGCATGGGTCCTTCGGCATAGCAACTTCCCAGAATGCCTTTAATCTTGGTAAGACCTGATTTAGAGCCTGACAATTATATGAAACTGTCCAATCCTTCTTGGTTGGTTCATGCATTAAAAAGGCACTGTATTTGGGGCAGGGGTCCCTTTGCCTAGTGACTGAAAATGGCAGCCTTGGGGTGTTAGGAAACATTGGATATCTAAATGCCAAACAACTCATCAAATGTAATTTGGCTAATTGCAGAAATGAGGATAAAAGTATAAAAAGATGGATAACATTTTGAGGGATAACAATCTAACACCTAATAATTAAATGAGAACTACTGCACTGCTGTGCTGAAAAATACTAAGTAAAATAACTATTTATATTGTTATACTAAAAAAAATAATGCTTATTATTAGGTATCCTCATGTCAACTCCGACTGAGAGATATCCTTTCATTGGGTTTTCTTAGCAAGGCTTATCTAGAAATGATTTGTCATTGTCTTCCTTTTACGCTAAAGCAGTGCGACTTACGACCTCATCACACGGGCAAAACTGTCCGTCCTATGATAGTTTCACCTCAGTTCAGAGATGAAGCCCATCAGAACCCAATGATATAGGTCTACTTTCAGGGGCTCTGTCCCTGAAATGAGGTGAAACTGTAATAAGAGAGAGCAAAGAAAACATGGGAGGCTTTCCATGTTCTCATTAAAAAGAATGGTTAGAAAGCCCAGCAGCAATGCTTCCCTCCCCCATGGGTTGAGGTAATGGACAATGCTGAACATGGGGTAATGGGTTTCCCATGCCCCGCCACCTGATTTGCCACGAACCATGGCGAATCCCCCCACTATCACCTAGCTTACTGACTTCAATGTGATGAGGCCCTTACTCAGGGTCACTCAGTGGGTTACAATGAATGAACAGGAATTCAAAATCTGGCCTCCAAATGTCCTAGTTCAACACTTAAACCCATTACTTAGGTTGGCTCCCTCCAAATCTCACTTTACTTTCACATCATACTTTTTGAATCAAAACATTAAGAACATGTTTGAGAGGTCACCACTAATCCAAGAAATGTAGGGACATGTGTACATTAGATTAGACTTCTATACCTTTACTTTGACCTGGGAAAAGTTACCAACCTTTGTTTGTCCTTAATCATTTTCACAATTATGTACTTAGTCACAATTGTGATACTATTACCACAAACTCTGGCCTGTGGGACCCTTTGAAAACCATGTTCCAATGAATGCAAGGAGGAAGACATAGATATATATTCCCCTTTCCCACTCAATAGATGAGTGTGTTTTCTATGCGCAATTGTTTCCAATATAATGTTATATATTTTTTAATTATGGCAATAGTATTCACTTTCAGAGCTTCAGAGATAGTCACATAGCAGGATAACTTCCCCACCCCCACATAGTCTGAGCAAGCTCACACTATTCCTAGGTACATTAACATTCTCATACAATTTTAATATTGAACATATTCAGAATGCATTATAAAACCAATTATAGTTATAGAAATTCTAAGTGTATGAGCCATGTACTTTATATTATACTTACCCCTGTTCTCTGTACTTCTAAAAAAATCGCTTTTTGAAAGGATTTTTCCCATACGGCCAGCTCACTTCCCAACTCTACATTGAAATAATGACTCTTGCAATGTCCAACCACGACACTGAAACAATATGGTCTCTGGTCTTCAAGTTCATAGTCTTGATGGATACCTAAATATAAGTTTGCTTGAAGCCAGCAATCATCATTAAGCCAGAGCTGAAATATACAGTTCAACAAAAATTGATTAGAATGTCATCAGAAATGGATATTTTTCATACTGATATGATTCATATGTAATGGAGGAAGGAGGATAATTGATCAATTGGATAGTTGGAGGTCATTTTTGTTATTTTAGATTTTGGTAAAGAAGCTTAGTTATTTATAATTGTAGCTTGCTTCCCCCCCCCCACCCCCACCCCCCATTTTATCACATCATTTATGTTTATGCAATATTGTCTTTATATGTTGTTTTATATTATACACATTTTGGTTGTTAATAATATTTTTAAAAAGAAAAGAGTGACTGAAACATAGTCATCAGTGGAAATCATGGCCAAGTGGAGTCCGGTGGAACCCCCACTTTGCTAGCTTTAATCATATTGTGTTACAAGGTAATTATTTTATGTGTATCTGTTGGTAGGAGGATGGCTATATTAGAAAGTATTCTGATGTAATAAAACTATTTTGTCAACAGTCTTAGTTGACTCTTCTGTGCTAATGTATATATCTTTTCCTTCTGGTCAGCTTTAAAAGGAGAGGTGGTATTAGTGATCTGCCTCTCTCCCCTCATAGCTCCTTCCCCTTTCTGCCACAGAACGACTTTTCTAGTGTATGTTGTTGAACCATCACTTATATAGTTACCACATGCTAAGTTTAATATGAGCACAGCATCTGCATCAGCATCTTTCAAACTGTCCAGATGCTTATTGAATGAAAAATCTTTGCTGACCTAGCTGTCATTTATTCATACCTATGACCCTTTCCTCTAAAAACAACCCAATTGGTCTACATGCCAGCAGCCATATGCTTCGATGGAAATGCCTTGGGGTGGAAGCATCTTTTTTGGTAGGTAAGCTGCAACTGAAGGGCACATTCTGTTTATTTGTCATTGACACATTCCATTTATATTTATAGGTAAATTTTCTCAGAAATTCCACTTCACGGGGACATCATTATGGATGCTTCTCTGCCCAAAGTGGAAAAAGGAAGAAGCTTCGTATATGCTATACCATGATATTGAATGCACTGACTAAGGGCGCATCTACATGGGCATCAAAGTGGGTCAGAGTTGTCTCTGTGGTTATTCTATTATGCACAAAGCAATCTCACCCACAGTTGTGTCCCATATTAGGAAACACCAGGGAATGTTCCTTATCTACCCCAAACCTCTGGAGCAGTCCTGCACTTTGGGCTAGTTAGGATCTGGAGCCCTCGGTGGCACAGTGGGTTAAAGCACTGTGCCAGCAGGACTGAAGACCGACAGGTCACAGGTTCGAATCCGGGGAGAGGCGGATGAGCTCCCTCTATTAGCTCCAGCTCCTCATGCAGGGACATGAGAGAAGCCTCCCACAAGGATGATAAAACATCAAAAATCATCCAGGCGTCCCCTGGGCAACGTCCTTGCAGACGGCCAATTCTCTCACAACAGGAGTGGTTGCTCCTGACACAACAAAAAACAACAACAAAAAAAACAAAAAACCAGCCCCATTATTCACATAGGCTAGTGCTGCCATCCTGTTTCCCCCATATTCGGCAGAGTGGGGAAAACTGAGTGACACTTACCTGTGTATGTCCTTATCATTGTAGTGGCAGCTGCAGAGATTAGAAAACCTCCTGGTGGTAATTGGGCATTTTTGCCCATACAAGCAAAGGTGCCTATGTGACTCAGAGAGTGAGAGGGAATGCTCCCTCCTTTCTCCTTCTGCTCTCTGAGTCGTGTGGGCACCTTTGCTTTCCTTGGCAAATGGTTCCAGAAACACAGAGCAGCTCTTTGGTGCTCTGTGGCAACCACTATGGCGATGACAATGTGATCATAGTGGTCATCCAGTGGCTGAAATGGGTTCAGCCCTGCTAGGTGGTCTGGATTCCATTGTGTTACTGCAGAGGAAACAAGCAATGTAGCTGCTCCCAGGGATGGTCCAGAATACTGCCACTCTGGACTGATTCCATGTTAATTGGTCTGTGTAAATCAGAGGTTCCTGATTTACACAGACCAATTTAAAAAAAAAACCAGGGACCACTTTGACCAGGGACCACTCTCCAACATTAGTACCAAAAGGGTTACAAATCAGTTTTGGGTCAACTTTAGATTTTTGGTTTGGTTATTTGGGATGCTGACTCAGAAAATTGCATTGGAAAGGTCACATCAGCTCTAGTTTCTGACACAGAACACATGCCATCCAGTAGTTGCCATCTGCTCGCCCTCAGAAAACCATATTTAATAATCTAGAGCTGATGTGGTAGTAGTCATCTTTCATGGGTAGTCAGCCCCTTCCCTCCTGATATCCCTGTTGCCTCGGCACTACAAGAGGGTTTCGCGAGACCAGTCACTCTCATTGCCGCGTGGTTTTGAGGCAATGGTGTAGTAATGGTGAGTCCATGGACCATATTCTCATTCTTGGGGACCACAGGTGTAGATGGGCCCTGAATTTAGGCCAGAACGAAATAGTCTTTGTGTGTATCTATATTACAGAGTGAATGTAGTTTGATACCATTTTAACTGCCATGATGCAATGCCATGGAATAAGGTACTTGTAACGTTTATAAAAACTTTAGCCTTCTCTGCCAAAGAGTGCTAATGCCTCACTTCAGTAAAACTCTCATTATTCCATAGCATTGGTAATGAAATGGGTATCAAACTGTATTAATGTTACAGTGTAAATGCACCTTAATGGAACAATGCAAGTGTAGAATTTTAAAGGGGGGAAAGGATTAACACTCATAATTCTTTCTTCACATTGCATTCAGCTTACAAAAAGATTTAATAGTACTGTGCGAAGTGATTTTCATCTATATTTTGTAGTGGTAGCAGTGGAGTGTGCATGTACATGTATGAACAAAAGGAGTGGGAATGACAGGACATGTATGTCACTAGAGCACATTGTGTGAGAGAAAAGGGGACAGAGGAGCATCGCATCTATATGATCCTTAATGAATATGGCCCTGGCGTAAAAACTTTCCCAACACTGATTTAAAACATTCTGCTTAAAACAGCTTAACATTAGGGCCAGTTTCTAAAATGATATGCAACTGTTGACTTCAGGAGTGGGTGACGATAGAAAACGTGGAAGATTATTGCTATACATGACAATGGCATCAAGAACTATCTATGCTCAAAGATGGAAAGACGCAATGATTCTGACACAAAAGGATTTGCTTATGAAAATAAGTGAACTTGCAGAAATTGATACACTTATTATGTTTAATAAGTTCAAGGAGAGATCTCTAACCAACTTTAAGAAAGACTGGGACCCATTCATTACATTCTGCCAGCAAATATGGGGTCAGACCTCCATCAGAGGTTTTGGGACTAGTAGAGTATTATTATGGGGAAAGGATGTATCAATGGTTCTTTTTATGTAATGGGTGTAGAATATTGAGAGACTATAGCCATCAGACAAAGAATGTAAAGCCCTTAGATTGGATTGTATGTAGTGAATGTTTTCTGATGCTTTGAATGTAGCAGCAATATGTTCTCTTTTATTCTAGAAAAAGTATTGTAACTTTTTTTGTTTGTTAGTTAGTTTGTATGTTTATATGTAGGTTTTGAATTAATTTGTTTAAATATAAATTAATTATATAAAAAGGGATGGGTGACTGCAACAGGGAAAGGAGACATTGTTCACTTCAGTGTATCTGAGATAAGTCTTCCTGATCTTTTGGGCCAAAGACTGCAATCAGAAGTAACTCCTGGCTTCTTTACACTATGTAATGAAATTAGAAGAAAAATATGGTCCTGGTTTGAAAATGTTATTTCCTGTTTAATTGTATGTTACTTACTTGGAAAGTAGGTGTTATGGCTCCAGAAACTTCATTTTTATGGCCGAGGGTAGTCCTATTATTTCCTTCAGTCTATGCACTTTGTAATTTTCCTTAATGAAAAGATGCCATTTTACCCTTTCAATGGGCTTACCGCAACAAAGTTTTTGCAGTTTGATAAACTTTTTCCATTTTTTTTATAATAGAACTAATTAGGAAATGACATTTATAACCCAGGAACAAAAAATATGTTACAATGTGTTATCTAGGAGTTTTATAGAAGTTCTAAGGCTTTGGAAGAGTGTCTTTAGCAAATCTAGCACACCTGGAGATAACTGATCTTTTCAAATGTTTCACCTCACTTTTTGATATGTAGGTCAAGGGTTTGGTGCAAGGGGCACTTGGTTTGCAAAAAGCAGTTGGTGAGTCACTTGTGGGGCTAAAGATCAGACTTTTACCAGCCTTGGTTTGCTTCAAAGTAAGTTTCCCCCTGAAGCTCAAATGCAAGGTATATTCATAGGCTGGAACAATGCCAGGTAAGATAATGTCTTAAATGCTTCTATTTCTTATCATTTAAATGGGAATTATGTTTATCTACTTGACATCTGTGCTGTGAAGAGAAATGTGATAAATATTATTTAAAAGAATATGATCACCCAAATTGTGATACTTAAATGACAATGAGAACCAGCAACATAAATAATGATGTACCCATACCCATGTGTGTTTGGGTTATTAATGTTGACTGATGCAAACAATACTGCTGTGCTGATATATTTCAATAAAAGGTATCTCGTTTGAAAATCCTGTAAGCCACAATGTACAAATCAAACAAACAGCAGTTTTAATTATGGGCTCATAATATTTGTTTTATGCTTCACAGGTTGCTTTGTTTAAATATCTTCATAATGACATCCCCATGAAGCAAAAGAGCCAAGGAAATTTACCACTGATGAAAAAGCTATTAATAGGAGTGGAAACACAAGAGAGAAAATATAGCTTAATTATATTTTAATTGCACATAGAATCATAGAATCATAGAATCAAAGAGTTGGAAGAGACCTCATGGGCCATCCAGTCCAACCCCCTGCCAAGAAGCAGGAAAATTGCATTCAAATCACCCCTGACAGATGGCCATCCAGCCTCTGTTTAAAAGCTTCCAAAGAAGGAGCCTCCACCACACTCCGGGGCAGAGAGTTCCACTGCTGAACGGCTCTCACAGTCAGGAAGTTTTTCCTCATGTTCAGATGGAATCTCTTCTCTTGTAGTTTGAAGCCATTGTTCCACGTCCTAGTCTCCAGGGAAGCAGAAAACAAGCTTGCTCCCTCCTCCCTGTGGCTTCCTCTCACATAAACACCATACTCTTGAAAAACATATACAGAGTTACCTTTTTTAATAAAAAAATCTAACTGAAGATATGCTTATTTTGAAAAGTCTAAAACATATTTGATTATCATTATGTGACATACTTGATTGTAGAACATACCAGTTAAAAATATCAAATGAATCCAAAATAAAACTTTGTCCTATAATTATAGTGGATCCATGCTATAAACAATAAGACAAAGATGTGCTAAATGCAATGGTATCTGGGCTCACTGCATGACTACATAATCTCAGGAGGATCGAGACAAATGCACACATTCCAACAGTCATAATTTGACAATGACAGTCCTGATTAATCCTCTGTTGTCCTAATTCCTGTCCCAGTTTCTCTCTCCTCTTCCCATCTTTTCATTTGTCCTCAGCCTTGTTCATTTTCAGCAAACTAAGTTAAAAGTGCAAAAATTGTTTACATTACTTTAACTCAACAGCTGGGAAGGAGATTGTAGGTGGGCGGGGGGGGGGGGATAGCATCTTGCCCTTGCTAATTAGGCCCAGGAAAAAGCAAATTGCTGCATCCTTTCCTAGCTTGTGTGTGTTTTGTCATTAGTCATATTTGCTGTCTTGACTGAGGATCTCATCGGATGGTGGTCCAGTAGCCAGGAGTCAGCAAAGGAAACCATGGGCCAGTGGGGGAAACCATGGGGCAGCGCCCAACTTTGCCCCTTACCATTCCATGGTGTTTCTCGGCTGTCCCTGTCTTGTCAAATGAAGCTACAGGTAGTCACCCATATACTCAGGGCTTCTTCTGAGCACAATGTTGAGACAAATCTGGGATGGAGCTCTGCATCATATGATGGGCTCTGTCGGGCTCTGTCCTGGCTCTGCTTCGGCAGCAATCTAGGATGGGGAAAAACTCTGTCTGATGAGGCCCCATATGTAGATGTTGCTTGGCCACATATGTCTTGGTTTACACCTGAGAAATGTTGGATGGTATGCAAACCCAATGCAACCACTATTCAACACTTCAGAGTCATTGGCTGAACAGATAAGAAGCAATTACTTGCACTAGGTAGTATTGGTAATTCCAAAACTTTGGACAAACATTTTGATTTCTGGCCTCAGATTCTATTTAGCACTTTGCCCAAAAGTCCTACATTGCCTTCCATAGGTGCATGAAATCTTTCTTCTTATTGTTGTTTTAGCTGCAGTCAGAACCTCACTCTGTTCGGCCTGGTTTTATGATTCCAAAAATCACAGTTTTTGATTTTTCTGACAGGGAGCAGTCTGTGTCCAAGACCTTGAAAGATTTTCCCATTGCTCCTCATCCTGTGCTTTAGGATCTTTATTTCATTTGCCACACTAGATACAAAATCAATGGCAGTGAAAAGAATAAGCACTTCTGAATGCCAGTTTCTGACTCTCATTCCAAACCGGCACATACACAGCATTCCAAAGTTCTGTAAAAAGATATATCCTCAACCACCCATTGAATTGAGACCTGGCTTTATGGTTTCTCAGACAATTCTCAGAGGAATTCCATACATACAATATTTAATCTGTATATGCAGATACCTCTTTCATCTGGGGATTTGCATTTTGCTTTTGTTTACACACAGTCCAAGATCTCAAGTTCCAGCTGGCTAGCCCGTCATGTTTCTCAAGGAAGGCAATCCAAAACTCTTCTATGTATTGTCGAAGGCTTTCATAGCCGGAATCACTGGGTTGTTGTAGGTTTTTGGGGCTGTATGGCCATGTTCTGGAACCTTCTAGAATATGGCCATACAGCCTGAAAAACCTACAACAATCCAAAACTGTTCTGTTTTGGAAGATTGGCTGTTTTGGAAGATTGGCTGTTAGGGTCGTGGACTCTGGGATTTTTTTTTTCTTGTTGGATGCTTATATTTGCTTTAATGTAGTGATAGCTAACACAAGAGCCTTTATGGACTGACTGACAAAAGAAAGGGAAATAAAAATAAATGCATATTCATGAGGTATAAACTCTCTATTTTAAGGGTCTTCACCTTAAGAATTTTGGAAACTGGAAGTGTTATGAGTAACAATTATTTTCAAAACTGAAGAAAAGAGTCATTATTTTTTCCAAGAAGGTTTGGTTTATGGTGCTTAGATAATGGAACAGAGAGACAGTTAGGTATGGTGCTTAACAGCATAATAGGTTTTATCAAAACCGAGTCCTACTCTATTCAGTTTGGCTCACTCCAGCAAGTGAGTTTAGTCTCAGATTGTTATATAAATCTTTTTGTTTTGTTCATCTGTAGAAAACATTTTGAAATGATTTGCCTTTGAGTTATGTTCTCTTTTCTTCAGACATGACTAGCTACTAACTGTTATATCTTATATAAATGAATGGCTAAGCAGTAAAATTGACTTTCTGTCACAAGGGTCTGCCACCTGGTTCTGCTCCAGGAATAAACCAGGGCTACTTAACCTTTCAATCTTAAACATATCTCAATGATCACATATTTTTTGAGGAATCAAGTGAGGGATGGGAAAGAAACCACGCGGTATTCTACACTGGTGGATTGGGACCAAATATATAAAATGGTTCATTTTCTTTTAATTCAGATATGTGATGACAAGATAGTGAAGAAAAATATTCTTGTTATAGCAGCTCAGAAGAACATTTTCTGTAAAGCAAATTGAGCTCTTGAATTTGTAATGGAGAGGCTTTAATCTCTTCTGAAAATTAAGTTTACTCCAACATAATTGATTTGCTCTAAGTTTCCTTCATTATCATTTATTCTGAAGTGTCAACAGAACAGAGGGTGTAGTTGTACACTGAAGCTTTTGTGTTTCAGTTAATGTATTCATCAAGAGTGGCAATTAAGTGTTCATTTATTAAAACGTCAGGAACATAAAGGGCTCAATCTTGGGTAGATCATATTCAACCTTTCCTCTCACCCCCTGAAATGCAGCGACAAAATTGTTCTGAAATTAACCTTGTTAGAAATTTAAATGAGTGGGGGAATATAAGAAAATGAATAAACATGAATATTTTGACATTGGCTAATAGTCAAGAAAGGTCCATTGCACATAGTCCTTAATATTCAAACAAAAATGGAATTGAAGGTACTTGTGCCTTAAGAGTAAATGCTAGATATACATTTCTCCACTTATAGATTTTGGGTAATTCGAGAAAGGAGTACAATCCCAAAACCAAAGCATGAAAATTCTTCTTCTTTACAGATTGAACTATTCAGGATTTTCGGTGAATCGACTTTTGTGCATATATATCCCATTTAAAATGTGGACTTATGTATACACTCGGACATACAAAACTGCCTTATGTCTGAAACAGTCTGCTGAGCCATCCCATCTTACTGTTACCAAAACTACAAGGATGTAGTTACCAAAACTACATGATCTTTTTTTCTGGAGATCCCCAAGATTAAAACTGGGAATACATGTGTGCAGAGTACATGCTCCTGCATAAATCTACAGATAGACACACTAGAGGGAGGAACCAAAAAGGTGCAAAGTCACAGATATCAAATGTATCAGAAACAAAGTTAATCAGAATTGGTTCAGAAAGTATCAAGACCGAGTGGATGAGTGCTTATAGCAATTATTGCTATAGTTCACTGCTATGATCTATTTTTATAATTTTGACTACATTTCAGCTGACTTGGTTCTCTAAACTGAGATTAATCTGAATGCATCATTGATTCTGTTATTATGTTAAATGTAACCTTACATACTAAGATGCTTTTGTTCTAGTATTTGGGAGACTTACCTTGTGGACTTTAAAGAGAACCTCACAGAGGTTATAGATTTTTTCAGCCCGTACCCAGTCTAATGTGCTTACCTATAATGACAAAAGAAAGTATTATTAAATGTATTTGGGCCAAGTTCTTTTTGCCCAGCAAAAACATTGTCTTGCTGGTTCATATTTTTGTTCCTTTTTTAAAATCTTAATTTATTTTTCATTTTTATTGGAGGCTATTGTATCTACTATCAGTACTATAGACTGACACAGACATATATGGGTTTCTTAAGCAGTAAACATTTGAACAAAGAAAGGCAATTCCCTCTGTAGCCAGATGTCCCTTTCCTTTTTCATCACACAGAGGTGACATATTATGCTGCTAGAGTACAAATAATAGTGCTAAGGGGAAAGATCTGGTCTTTTGAAATGTATTATTTACTACACACATCCTACTCTCCTTTTGGGAAGTTTGTGGTAGCTGACATAAAGCTCCCAGGTGGTCTCCCAGCTGAATAGGCTGCGGCTGACTTAGATTTCACAATTGTCGGTATTGTGCTTCAAAACACTATTTTCTAGAAAAGTTGTAGGTCCTGATTCTGTGTCTGGTGCAGACATCACCCTAACTAAACAAAGGAGATGAATTTGAGGAAACTTGTAGGCTTGTAGTTACGTATATATTGAAATGTTTAATGAAGGCAATGTGGTTGCAAGTCTTAAAATGTTTGCCAAGCTTCTGCTATCAAAGATACAAGCCAGAATTTAAGGTAAAATGTTGCTTGTCTCAGCTGTTGACAACACACCTCCAGAAAAAAATTGGGAAATATTTCTCATAACAACTCAATTACAGGAAAAAATAATTATTATTCAGATAAAATAAAGCCCCACTTTAGTACTTATTTTGGCCAGTGGCCTAAGATGCAACAATACACACACACACACAAACATACATGTACAACATTAATCGCTGATCAGAATCTCATTATTATCATTGATCGGATCAGGCATTTCCATTGTGCTTGAAATACCACCTATGCTTCCTTTAGCAAGAATGCAGATGACTGTCTTCTATCAAAAGAAAATGTTTCTGTTTGTACTACTGTTACTACTCAGCCAAACTGAAAGACAGTTCCTAACTTGCTTTGGGAATGATTTAATAAAACTGACTTTGATCCAAGGGATTTCACTCATTGGTCACCAATTTAGAATTTTGCAGCTTTTCCTCTAGTATTTCTTTTGCTTTGGTTGAAATATCCTTTTGCCTTTTGGCTCTTGATACCAGAGCTGAAGTAGAACAAGGAGTGACCTTCTGTTGTCACTAAGCCTTAGGATTCTCCACCTTCATCCATCATATTCAGGACTGCTTTTATTTGTCTGGGTCTTTTGCAACCACCAATGTCTTTTTTTCCTTTTTTTGTTTGTAGCAAAGATGGCTGGGGATGATAGATCAGAAAGGACACACAGTGTACTCCATTACAAAGAAATACTAAGATACCAAAAGCTGTATAGAAATTTGTCTGTGTATCCCAGCATGCAAGGTCATCATTAGAACACGAGTGACATTTTATGGTCTTTCAAGCAGCAAAGCATTCATAACACAAAGAGCTACAGAGGGAATTGCCAGTATTTGCAGTCTTTTTATGATCTCTCACGTGACATTTAATGGTAAATACCACCCCAAATCACTGATACTTTACAGCTTTCTTTAATCTAAAACAATATTAACTATATATTGTATGTTTGTAATTGACAAGGACTTGTTAGAAAGCATGAAGTACATCACTAAGATTGAAATGGGGTACCCACTTACATGGAAGTAAACCTGATTGTACTTAGTGATATTTACATTTGAGCAGACATGCACTGTGCTGTCAATGCAGATTAGTGCTTTTTGAGTACTTGCTTAAAATCACAGTGACTGTGTCCAAATATTGTCATAAATGGCATGCCTCTGTTTCATGAGTCTAGTTCCATCTCAGTTACATTCAGAGCTGCTACCAAATTTTGCACATTGCTAAACTCTGAGATGAAGCTGAAAGTTCATTCATGGATAGAACAGACAAGGAATTTGGAAGGAAACAAAGGGATATCATGAAAACTCAGGGCCCGTCCCGACAGGGCCTTTATTGCAGGAACTCCCGCAATGAAGGAGTGGCTGTAAAGGAAATGAGATCCCACCTAAACATTGGGAAGAATTTCCTGATGGTAAGAGCTGTACAGCTGTGGGACATGCTGCCTTGCCATGTGGTGGAAACTCCTTCTCTGGAGATTTTGAAACAGGCTAGATGGCCACCTCTTAGGAGAGGTTTCATGATCTGTACCTGTATGGCTGGATAGGCCTTGTGGTATCTTTCTGTGATTCTACGTTGAACAAAACAGCATGCAATCCATGAGAATCATGTTTTTGCACTCATGAAAAGGTCGTTGCTTTAGCCACATCTGATTTATTCTTAATACCTCTGACTAATCAGGGCATTCACATTCAAATAAAATTTTCACCTTTTTTTTGACTCAACAAACTGCCCAAAATCTGATTTCTGAAACTCTAATGAACATTTTTTAAAAAAGCAATCCCATGCTCATACTCAGTGTATGGAAATATGAGATTCCAATTTTGAAGTTGGTGCCACTGGAGGATTATTAAAAACAAGCTGAAATACCCCAGTATCAATTGAACATTTATATTAAGCATCCTTCTCAGATATAGAAGCCAAATGAACACATTTTATTTTGATTGAGACTACATTGTATTTAGTAACCATGTAATCAATTGATTTCTATAGGTCTGTTCTAAATATGATTAAAATTTGGATCTAGCTCATTATATACTAGTAATTTGATTTGTGCTATGGTCATCTTTACAATTTCAAATCTGACTGGGGGTGGGATTCAACTTGGGCAGCCTTTTGTCATTTTCATATATATATATATATGTGTGTGTGTGTGTGTGTGTGTGTATATATATGGAGATTGTTATGATTAATTTATAAACAGCTGGTCTTTCCAAATTCTTCAATTACCATCAAATTTGAAATATTCAGAAAGTCAGTATAATTAAAATGAATTAGAAGTGGGGAATGCCTATGAATAGCTTAGTGAGAATAATCTGTAATCACATTTGTTTACTATTTATTTAACGTGGTGGAGCCTAGAGAACAATAGCTCAAAAGACCTTGTCAGCAACAACACAAAAACATAATTTTCACTCTCTAATTAGCCTCTTGAGCAACCATGGTTACAACATAATTGCCAGGGCCTACACCTGCCCAATTGTTGAAAAATTATTTAATTTCTAAAGAGACCTCTTTGGTTTGTCCTATCTGTAACTACTTCTCCTGAAGACAGAACAAATCCTGACGTCTCTAAACTTCTCATACTTTGTATCATAATAAGTCAGAGTCTTGTAAAAAAAGCAAATTATAGACTTTTAACTGATGGGGGTAAAATTACACAGTTAAAGATGACTAAATGCTGAAAAAGCACAGAATGATACTAACAACAAGAATTTATCAATATTGCTACAAGTATTTACTATGCTTGGAAAGTTAATAATTATAGTTACAATTGCTGCCTTTTTTTAAAAAAAAATACCACCTATGTGCTTTCTTGTTCTTCAAAGGTAACTAAAATAGTTGATTTTGAATTACAGAAATATTTGAATGCTACCAGTTTCAACACCCACAACAGAGATGCAGGCAGCAAGATAAAATACAACATGAAACAACACTTAAATACTGTGATGTTCTTCCTTTATCATCTAGTGAACCCACACTAAAAAGCAATTAATATATGACAGTGCGTAAAAAGTAATACAGTTATTCCTTCTGAAGTTATAGTTGTAATATAATGAAATGCAACATTCATGACATTACACAGGCTGGAATCCCATATGGCAGTTACAAAGGCAAAAGCACCAGCCTATGCAGAGAATGATGGCCTGGTCCACCCAGACTCCACTTACTGGGCAACAGCCCTTTGGATCGATGAGAGATCATTGCCTTGTCACTTGGGAAGCAGCTGAATTAACTTACATACAGGATTCTGGCTATATTTGTTACTGGAAGAAAGAGCTGATTACAAGTATATAATGTGTAGCTAGTTACATCAATTTCTGAATATTTTAAACCGCCTTAAGCATAACTGATCAGAATGCTACATAAACCCTGCAGAAGAAGGATTAACTTCCATTTGTCACTGGATCCAAACATGTGACAAAGTAATAAACACATTGCTAGTTTTCTCCAGCCAGTTTTATTACTTGAACTCATCGTCTGCCAACACAATCTTGGAAAATTAAAGATTTACAATCTTATAAAGTTCAGTATTTAATTACATTTGCATTACTGCAATACACTATGAATCAAGAGAAAAGAAGCAAGACTTAGCCTGTCATTCCACACATATTTAGTAAAGAATAAAGTTTCACCCATACATTTAGAAGCGTCATTAGAAAAGGTGACAATGCTTGCCAAATTGGAAGGTAATAGGAATAGAGGAAGACTGCACTATGTAGAATAGACCCAATCAAGAATGTCACAGCCCTGAATTTGCAAGACCCAGGAGATTATGCTTCTGGAACATGGCCATACAGCCTGGAAAACTCACAACAACCCAAACAAGGCTGTTGATGACAGTGGGTCTGGAGAGAGGTCTCTTATTTATAGAGTGCATTTATATGCATGTATAGGGTTGCCAAGCTGGACCTGATTTGATGGCAATTATCAGCAGCAAGAAGAAGAATTTAAAGTTCTGCAGAATTTAGCAAAACCAAATTATATATATATATATATGACATGAGTAATATTCTTATTAGTCTGTGTGCAATGACTGCCAATTTGGTTTGAGGCACAACTGAGGCAAGAAGAAGAATTTAAAGTTTTGCAGAAAGCAGCAAAACCAAATTATACATGGACTCAGTAATATTTTTTAGTGTTGTATAATAATAATAACAATAAACATTGACAAAATCACGATCTGTCAACTGCAAAAGGCCACCTTACTTGGATCTGCACGCATCATTTGAAAATACATCACACAGTCCTAGACACCTGGGAAGTGTTCGACTTGTGATTTTGTGATACGAAATCCAGCATACATATCTC